CTCACATTTCTCAGAGCCTTTTAAATCAACTCGGTATTTTCAGGTGTTCAGATAATTTTTAAAAAGTTGAACACTAACTCATGTCTGACAATTGTTCTACTTTCAGATCCAGTTGTCCCAATGTGGCAGTAAATATGGGGAAAAGAAGGGAAATACATATGATACAGTAATCTGATTTAATATTGCCCACTCGTATATACACTTGCTCACCCGTCTCAGCGGTATTTTGTGTATTCCTCATTCTCGATCCTCTAACAGAGGCCAAGGAGTCTGAGGGTTCTGCTCAGTATCTTAGCTGTTCCTAGAACTGCATTCTTCTGGACAGCGATCTCAGATGTCCCACCTGGAATCTGTTGAAGTCATTCCCCCAACTTGGGAGTCACAGCCCCGAGTGCTCCGATCACAACTAGGACTACTACTGCCTTCACTTTCCATATCCTTCCTAGCTCTTCTTCCAGTCCTTGGTATTTCTCCAATACTCTCATGTTCCTTCTTGATGGTATGGTCATTTTGTATTGTGTTCTTTTTTAATGTCACTCCTTTCCTTGTTTTTCACTACAATGTCAGGTTGGTTGGTTAGTACTTGCTTTTCTGTCTGCTTCTGGAATTTCCATAAGTTATTAGCCCTGTTAATCTTAACTACCCTTTGTGGGATCTCACATCTGGACTTGGGCAGGTCGGGCCCATGTTCTGGGCACATGTTTTTAGTACACAATCACATATATTTAATGCCCAAATTTATCAACTTATAGTAATCATATTAGGTAAGTAAGGTAAGTTATCCTGCCTAAAGCTTTGCCATATATGCAAGTTAAAGTTGCTTTGATGCTTGGGTTGTGCCTTTAACAAGAAAACATTGACAATGTGATGTTAACATGATAAACGAGTTTACACAAACAGATCATATAAGAGGTTAATGATGCCATCTGTAATTTGGAGCCTTTGCATTCGTTACTTCTTGTTTTCGTCTCATTACCATGCTTAGTGACTTTTTTATACACACTGTTGTGTTGAGTTATTATGTTTATATCACAAACACTAAAACAAGTATTAATTGACAACTATTTAAAAAATGCAAGCCAAAGTAAATTAAAAATCAATGAAATAATTATAAAGAAATCAATTCAATTCAATTCCATTTCTTCCATAATCACAGAATCAATAAATCAGCTAAAAATGTAAGTCTCAAAAAAAGTCTCTGTATCACAAATTAACTGTAACATTGTCGCTAATAGTCAGAGAATTGCTTCATGTTGCTGAAAAATGAACAAACCAAATTATGTTTAACATTGCTGTCTCCAGTTGATACCTCGATTTCTTTGGGATAGATATATAAAATACAGCTATGTTGCAGTCGAGATGAGCATACCATCCAATCAGAATCAACAACTTGGCATTCCTTCATTTCCAAAGAATCGATCACAAATCGGCACCCATCAACCACCAAAACCTCAATTTAATATTGTTGGATAAGCGTTCCAAACTATTTAATATTGTTAGAAACATTTTTTAAAATTATCTAATATTATAAAAAAATATTTAATTTTGCAGTATTTTTAAAAATATATATAAATTTACATATTTTTTATATATGATACTTTTTTATATTTTAATATGTCAAACAAATCATTTAAAAAAAGTTTTTTCAAAAAAATTATGAAATTATTAAAAGGCCTAAGTCTCCTGTCTCTCCTCCTGAACGCTACAGACCGAGTGTCACTTTAACACAGACAAATTGATTTGACAATGACGCCATTTGCTAGCCGTTCCATTGAGAATTCTTACTAAGGAATATCTACAATATATGAAGAAAGAGATCAGATAAGGTTACATAGATGATGACAATGCTCTGTATACGTGTTGAAGAAAGTGTTTACTAAAGTAAGAGAATTTATAGGACACATTGGAACGATTGTAGATTGTAAACGTGTTTGAGTAGGACTTTCCTCTCCTATTTAAACCTTCCACTTTGAATAATCCCACAAGATTGGATATTCAATGAGGTCTCACAAAGTCACTCGATGAGAATTGCTATAAACAGTGGTTTACTAAGGGGGGGGCGGAGGGGGCGGTCCACCCGGGTGCCACCAGGGTGAGGGGTGCCATAACCCTGGTCTGGGTGCTGGAGGGGGCTGTGTGAGCTCTATGGCAGCACAGTGCCCCATGTTAGTTAGGATGCCGGGCAGCCAGAACAGCTCACACAAGAAAAGAGCACGGAGGTAAAGTGGGGCGGAGCTAAGCAAAATTGGGGTGGAGCCAAACTGGGACTGGGGGCGGGGCTTAATATGGCCCTTACCCGCTGCTGTTAGGAGGTTCAGCAAGATGGAATCTCTGCTTCTCCACAGGCTTCAGAGAAGGACTTCAGGGAATCCAGTCCTCCTCCATCCCACTGTCTGTAAGTAAGAGCGTGTGTCTGTGTGTGTGTGTGTGTGAGACTGTCTATGTATAACTGTCTGCCTGTAACTGTGTGTGTGTGTGTGTGTGTGTGTATGAGTGTGTGTAACTGTATGCCTGTAACTTTGTGTGTGTTTATGTGTGTGTGTGACTGTCTGCCTGTAACTGTGTGTGTGTCTGCCTGTAAGTGTGTGTGTGTGTGTGTGTAACTCTCTGCCTGTGACTGTGAGTGACTGTATATGTGATTGTCTGTCTGTAACTGTGTGCGCGACTGTCTGGCTATGACTGTGTGTGACTACCTGTAACTGACTGTGTGTGTAACTGACTGCCTGACTGCAACCGTGTGTGAATATCTGTCTGTGACTGTGTGCATGTGACTGTCTGCTGCTGTTGTGCGTGTGTGTCAATGTATATGTGACTGTCTGCCTGTAACTGTGTGCATGACTGTCTGTGACTGTATGTGTGACTGTCTGCATGTGACTGTATGAGTGTAACTGAGTGTGTGTGTGTGTGACTGCCTGTCTGTAACTGAGTGTGTGACTGTCTGCCTGTAAATGTGTGTGTGGGGCTGCAGGGATTTTGTAGAAGGGGGCAGGGGTTTTGTATTGGAATATGAATCTTTATAAGTGGGGATAAGCAGGGGATTTGTGGAAGGGGGTTGTGGGGGTTTTGTAGACGGGGCAGTACAGGATTTGTAGAATGGGACAGGACAGAGGTTTTTGTAGGAGGGGGCGGGGCAGGACAAGGGTTTTGTAGGAGGGCGGTTTTGCAAAGTTTACAAATTGTAAAAAAAAAAAGAAAGCCTTTAACATTTTTTACAAGTTTTTTTTTTTGGGGGGGTGAGGTGGCGAGAGGGTGCCAAGCACAGGATCCACCCCGGGTGCCAAATGCTCCAGGTACGCCCCTGGCTATGAATGTCCTCCACTGGTATTTAGGTACAAGTGTTTTGGATTATTTTTTTTTCTACCTTCTTATTCATTTGAAAAATATTACCTTTGTAAAAATGTTCAAGTAGGATTTATGTACGGTGGGGATAATTTTCTATACATGCTTTTCCTAACTCTATATTCTTTAAACAAAAATATTTAGCAATATGGTAAAAATTATAACATTGTTGGGGACTTTCAGAAGATCTTCTTGTTTCTCGGTACATCAAAGTTTATTGTTACTGGATTCGCATATGTTCCTGTCATTTAAGGACACGTGTAGTGTGTACATTGTAATAAAGAGTGATTTGTTTTAAATAGTTTTTTATTTCGTTGTTAACAGTCTAACCAGCATATAGCAAGGGTGCAAATAGTTGCACTGTAGCCTACGCAGAGGCTTATCATGGCAATTTTATGGTGAGCTCGCATGTGCTGTTCCCCATGCAGCCACAGGTGCCGCTGTGCTGGGAGATTGTGATTACTCTTCACTTCCTCCCAGCCTACAGAGCAGCTCATGGGAGAGAGAGAGGAGGAGGCATGATTTAATCTTACAACAAATCCACTAAGCAAATCTATATAAATTTGGGTGGGATCAGCTCTGTTTGCACAGTTTATTCGTGTTTACTCTGATGTCTGTATTAATATTGAGGGATTTCTAAGTAGTAACATCAGTGTGTGTCAGCAGGGCCAGCCGTTGGGGTGTGCACGCTGTGCGGTCACGCAGGGTGCCATCACAATAGAGGCGGCCAACACAGTTCACAAGTTGGGGACACCAGCATATTCAATTTAAACGATTCGCTGGTGGTCCACTGGTGCGCACCAGCAGTAGGTGCAGTCAGATTATATCCTCTCCCTCGTGGTTCCGGCGCTCAGTTAGTGAGTCGGAGCACAGGCTCAGAGATTCTCAGCCTGCGCTCTGACAACATTGAAAGTCAGAGCCGTGAAGGAGCAGGTATGGCAAAGAGCTACTGATTAGCATAACATCAATATCCGTTATAAAACCAGGAAAAGGTGGGCACCATTGCACTGATTTGGTGGTGCAATGGGCCACTTGACTGGTTTTTGCCCCCCAGGCCTAAGGCTGCCAGCCCTCCCCTGCACAGCACCTACACACAGCACCCTCACACACAGCAGTGTGTGTATGTATGTGTATGTGTATATATGTGTGTGTATATATATATATATACGTGGCGTGTGTGTTTCTGCTTTAGGGTGCACACACTTATACAATAGGCTGCGCACGCCTATGGTTGCTCGTATGACTTTCTGCCCCCCGAGGAGCCATACATTCATCAAAGGAACCACAGTTCTCCCCGTCTGCTCCCTCCCCCCTCCTCATCCTGCGGTACCGTGGCAGACTGACCCTATTTGGTCGTGAACTGTCCTGGATGGATGTTGGTGCCACTGAGTTCAATTTCACCAATTTGTCTGCTGCTGGTTCGGCCTATATTCCTTCCAGCGGCATAGGCGCCCCTGTGTAGAGGCCTCTGGTTATTAGTCCCCGTGCGTAGCTATGTCCAGTCCCCCACATGCCCCAACCCAAGAGTAATGCTTATCCCTCCCAGTGGTGCGTTATGTGAATGTATTCAGTGTCCCCTGGTATTTAAAAAAGGACTCACAAGTGTGATGAGTGTCCGAGGAATGTGTTGGTGCGTCGTTCCCTCACAGCTTGCCTCTGTGTCATGCTGCGGCAGTTATTCTTCCAGTCTTGTTGGGTCTTGATGCCATGGTCAGTTGCGTTGGGGTCTGTCCCTGTCCTGGTCTCTGCCCAGTGGTGGTGGTGGAGGGCTTTTTGCTTGTTGCAGGAATTGGTGAACCAGCCAGTTTGGTACCTGTACTTGCGGGAACCCTAGGGAGCGTTGGTACCCTGGGACGTCCACCGGGGTCCGTATAACGTGGAGGTCTGGTCCTCTGCGGATGGACAGGGAGAAAGGGTATCCCCATCTACATGGGATACCTGCCGCTTGGAGTGCTGTGGTGATAGGTCTGAGGGCCTTTCTTGCCTGCAGGGTGTAGCGGGAGAGGTCCTGGTATATGGATATTTGCAGGATATCGATGCGTATTGTGCCATACGTCGTGCGCCGCGCAGTATGTCTTCCTTCATGGCAAAATTGTCTAGACAGCAGACAATATCGCACGGCTGTTCGCTGGGTGCTGACAGCGCGCGTAGTGCCCAGTCTGTGAATTTGTTGGCCTCCCAGGGCATGGCTGAAGGTTGTGCGTAGGATCTCTGGTGTTTTCCGCTGGGCCCCCCTCTCTTACCCTGGGCCTCTGTAACTGTGAGTCGTGCATCCATGCTGGCTACATCTGCTCTCACCTGTGCTAGTTTGTCCCGGATTCCTTTACTGAGGTGATCAGAAAGAGGCTACAGGTCTGCCTTGATAAGCAGGTTGGGAAGGAGGGCTCACAGATCCCATCCAGTGTCCCCTGTGCACCCTGTGAGGTTGTTGGGGCCAGGAAAAATCCGGCGGGTGTCGTGGGGGAAGAGTCCGCGGTCTCACTTGCGGCCTCCATTTCTGGGAAGTGAGGTCCCGAGGCGTAGTGAGGAAGGACCTGATGGACGGCTCTATACCGGACCCCGATTGCCTGGGGTGAGCTGGGGTTCTGTCAGTTTCTTCGTGCGGGGTAAGCTTTTTGGTGCTTGATTTTATTGCGGGCCACGAGGAGCTCCTCTTTCATAAAGAGTGATTTGTAAGACAGGTTAATATAGAAAGTGAAAGTGTTCAGATCGCACTCCATCCAGACAGTTTATGGATGCACAGCTCTGTTTATTGCTATCTCTGCTCTGTGAACTCTTTATAAGATTTCCCCAGGAAATATCGCACATAAGATATATGACTTCTGGTTAATGTTGTTTACAATAAAATTCTTTCAAGGTTATTCACTAATTATCGGGAATTCAAAGCAAATTCAAAGAGAATTACACATTTCCAGCCAAAATAGAACTACTGAAAACATTCATTATTATTAATTAATATTATCTTTATTATTATTAATCTTATACTTTGATTGTAAGTTAGAATTAGAGGTTTTTTTCCAAGTTCAACTGTTTTGTTGTATAATTCTGACTTTGCAACTCCCATTTCAATAACCACGTGTATGTGTTGAATGAATGCATTGACTTGCATTATGTTTTGTTTCACAATTTCCATCCAGATATTTAATAGAACACTGTACTCACATCTTCATCTTAATCAACGTGTTATAGTGCTAACAGTAGTCCCCCCCCCCCTCCTTGAATTTACCCCAACATGTTATATTAATAATTAGAAGTGTTGGAGGTGCAGCTTCAACCCACGTCTCCAAGCCCTCTGTATAGGAGAGCTGAGACTATAAAACTTCCTGGCTCTCATACCTGGGCATACCGTGATGTAACACGCGCATGCTCAATGCCATCACAACTTGCTCTAGAATGTAAATACATTCAATGATTCTCTATGACAACATTATCCCATGTGACTATGGTCCCCAATGCTCGCACGAAGAGGAGCTGGTGGCAGCACTGAGGGAGATTCAGCACTGGAGAAAAGATAAGTAATTTATTTTAATATTTTAGCGCACATGGAGGGGAGGGCTGTAATTAGCTAGGTACAGTGGGACTATAGTGTAAAGATTTGAATTCCTAATGCTATAGTGTCCCTTTATGCGATGAGCCATTTATACCAAAGAGCACTGCTTCAGGAGATACGTTCGACCACAAACAGCTCTGAATTAGTCAACACTGTCTTCATACATTTTTAATCCAGTTACCTGCTGCTAATCTGTGACTTACAGTTTAATGTAACCCTCCTGGTCAGTGGTGTACTAAGGGGGGGGGTGGAAGGGGCGGTCCGCCCTGGGTGCCACCAAGGTGGGGGGTGCCATGACCCTGGTCTGGGTGCTGGAGGGGGCTGTGTGAGCTGTAGGGTCGCACAGTGCCACATGGTAGTTAGGATGCCGGGCAGCCAGAACAGCTCACACAAGCAAGGAGCAGCTGAACTGGCCGCACGGAGGTAACGTGGGGACGGAGCTAAGCAAAATCAGAGGCGGGGCCAAACTGGCAGCAGGGGCGGAGCTTAATATGGCCCTTAGGAGGAGTTGCAGCAAAATGGAATCTCTGCTTCTCGACAGGCTTCAGAGAAGGACTTCAGGGAATCCAGTCCTCCTCCAGCCCACTGTGACTGTGTGTCTGTGTGTGTGTGTGTGTGTGTGTGTGAGAATGTCTGTGTGTAATTGTCTGCCTGTAACTGTGTGTGTGTGTGTATGTGTGTGTGTGTGTAACTGTATTCCTGTAACTGTGTGTGTGTGTGTGTGAGTGTGAGAGAGACTGTCTGCCTGTAACTGTGTCTGTAACTGTCTGCCTGTAACTTTGTTTGTGTTTATGTGTGTGTGTGTGACTGTCTGCCTGTAACTGTGTGTGTGTCTGCCTGTAAGTGTGTGTGTGTGTGTGTAACTCTCTGCCTGTGACTGTGAGTGACTGTATATGTGACTGTCTGTCCGTAAATGTGTGCGTGACTGTCTGGCTATGACTGTGTGTGACTACCGGTAACTGACTGTGTGTGTAACTGTCTGTCTGACTGTCTGCCTGTGACTGTTTGATGTTGCCTGTAACTGTGTGTAAATATCTGTCTGTGACTGTGTGCATGTGACTGTCTGCTGCTGTCGTGTGTGTGTGTCAATGTATATGTGACTGTCTGCCTGTAACTGTGTGCATGACTGTCTGTTACAGTATGTGTGACTGTCTGCCTGTAACTGTGTGTGTGTGTGTATCTACCTGTATGTGTGTGTGTAACTCTCTGCCTGTGACTGTATATGTGACGGTCTGTCTGTAACTGTGTGCGTGATTGTCTGGCTATGACTGTGTGTGACTACCTGTAACTGACTGTGTGTGTAACTGTCTGCCTATAACTGTGTGTGTGACTGCATGTGACTTTGTATGTGTGACTGTCTGCCTGTGACTGATGTTGCCTGTAACTGTGTGTGACTGTCTGTGACTGTGTGCATGTGACTGTCTGCTGCTGTCGTGTGTGTGTGTGTGTCAATGTATATGTGACTGTCTGCCTGTAACTGTGTGCATGACTGTCTATGACTGCATGTGTGACTGTGTGCGTGTGACTGTCTGCCTGTAACTGTGTGTGACTGTATGCCTGTAACTGAGTGTGTGACTGTCTGTCTGTAATTGAGTGTGTGACTGTCTGCCTGTAAATGTGTGTGTGGGGCTGCAGGGATTTTGTAGAAAGGTGTTGCGGGGGTTTTGTAGATGGGGGCAGTACAGGATTTGTAGAAGGGGGCAGGACAGAGGTTTTGTAGGAGGGCGGTTTTGCAAAGTTTACAAATTGTAAAAAAAAAAGAAAACCTTTAACATTTTTTACAGGTTTTTTTTTTTAAGGGTGGGGGGTGAGGGGGTGCCAAGCACAGGATCCGCCCCAGGTGCCAAATGCTCTAGGTACGAAATTTCCCGGTGGGCCGTCGGCACCTGGGGCCGGGCAGATACCTGGTTCTGCTGGCGCCGCTGGGGGAGGACTGCTGGCAGCCGCTGGAGGGAGCTCCCCAGCTCGCAGCTTAATGAGACCGGGGCCGGAATATGACGTCATACTCCGGCCCCGGTCTCATTCAGCAGCGCGCGAGGGCGGGAGAGCAGAGCCAGCGCAGCTCCCCTAGCGGCCGCCAGTACAATTCCCCCAGCGGCCGCCAGAAGACCTCCCCCAGCGGCCGCCAGAAGACCTCCCCTTGCAGGTATTAGTAATGTGTGTCAGTGTGAGTTTGTCTGTCTGTTATGGTGTGTCTGTCTGTCTGTGTCATGGTGTGTCTGTCTGTCTGTGTCATTGTGTGTCTGTCTGTCTGTGTCATGGTGTGTGTGCCTGTCTGTCTGTCATGGTGTGTGTCTGTCTGTCTGTGTCATGGTGTCTGTCTGTATGGTGTGTGTATGTGTGTGTCTGTCTGTCATGGTGTGTGTCTGTCTGTGTCATGGTGTGTGTGTGTGTGTATGTCTGTCATGGTGTGTGTCTGTCTGTGCCATGGTGTGTGTCTATGTCATGGTGTGTGTGTGTGGCTGTCTGTCTGTCATGGGGTGTGTGTCTGTCCATCATGGGGTGTATGTCTGTCCGTGTCATGGTGTGTGTGTGTGTGTGTGTGTGTGCGTGGGTCTGTCTGTGTCATGGCCTGTCATGGTGTGTGTGTGTGTGTCTGTCATGGGGTGTGTATCTGTCATGGTATATGTGTGTTTCTGTGTCTGTCATGGTGTATATGTGTGTTTAAAAATAGTGTTTTTGCTCACCTTTTTTTTCCCCACGCAGCGTGCTGGTCTCCCCTCGACTGGCCCTGCCTCTATAGCTGAGATCATCAAGCTTGATGATCTCAGCCAATCCAATGCTTTGCCATAGGATTGGCTGCAAAACGCTACACCAATCAGCATCTCCTCATAGAGATGCATTGAATCAATGTATCTCTATGGGGAACGTTCAGCACCTACAGAGTGTGGAGGCCCTGAATGTAGGTGCACTAACACAGGAAGCACCTCTAGTGACCGTCTGAGTGACTGTCACTAGCAGTGTCACTTTGAAGCAATGTAAACACTGCCTTTTCTCTGAAAAGTCAGTGTTTACGTTGAAAAGCCTGTAGGGACATGCTATAGACACCAGTACCACCACATTAAGCTGTGTGTGTGCGTCTGCTAGTGAGTGAGCTTGCTTGCATGCGTGTGCCTGCTAGTGAGTGAGCTTGTGTTTTTATGTCAATGAGCTGATGTATATCAGTAAGATTGTTTGTCTATGAGGCTGTGTATCAATGAGCTTGTGTGTGTCATTGAGATGTCAGTGAAATTGTCTGTGTCTGCATGTGAGTATGCTTACTGTATAATTAAACGTTTTACCCTGAAAGGACCAATATTTTATATTAGAAAAAGCAATATATATATATATATATATATTACTCAATCATCTGTCCTGGCAAGACATAGCCTTACATATTACACACGACAATATATGGCGCAGTGACTTATGGGGCTGGCACAATTTTTTTTTCCAGGGCTGCTTTGTATCCCCAGTCCGGCCCTGGGTACGCCCCTGCTCCTGGTGCATTGCCGGGCAGGTACAACTTGATATATTATTGGGTTATATCAACTGAAGTAGATGCTGAGATGTATGGAGAATGTCAATGGGCCTTTATAATGATGGGAAAATGTTTACTGTGGTTTGGAAAATATTCTCGTTAAGCAGCAATTTAAAGTATATTAATAAGGAACAAATCTGAAAAGGCGCTCAAAAAGTGAAAATAAAGTTCTAATAGTTGCAAAAACTCCCCTAAACACTGTGATTTCTCAACACAGCAGTATTAATAATGACTAATACACAATATGGTTGCACTTAAAATTTTGATACTGAGAATACATATCTCAGTCTTTCACTGAATACGTGAACATATAAAAAAAGAAGATATATAATACACTATCTAGTGCAGATCAATTCTAATAATGCAATCAATTAGAAATATCAAAAAATAATTCTATGTAATGTCAGACAAAATAGTAACTTTGCACTTATTGACATAGAATGCATACAGTTTGCTGTGTAGCCACAGATCAGAGTGCCCATAATGACCCCTGTCCACCACCATAAGTGCCTTCAGTGGGAATGTCAGTGTCAGAAATGGACCATGAAGCAATGGAAGAAGGTTGCATGGTCTGAGGAAACACGTTTTCTTTTAGATCAGGTGAATGGCCAGGTGTGAGTGCAAAGTTTACCTGGGGAAGAGATACCATCAGGAAGCACTATGGGAAGAAGGCAGGCTGGTCAGTGGACGCAGGACATTGTTCTGCTGGGAAACCTTGGGTCCTGTCATTCGTGTGGATTTCACTTTGACACGTACCACCTACCTGGAGATTGTTACAGACCATGTACACCCCTTTTCATGGTAATGGTGTTCCCTGACGGCAGTGGCCTCTTTCAGCAGGGCAATTTGAGGGAGTGAGGGGGGGGGGAGGGAGGAAGGGAGGAAATCTCAGAGGGAGGGGAGAAGAAGGAGGAAATTTGAGGGGGGGATAGAGGAAGGAAATTTGAGGGGAGAGGAAGGAGGAATTTGACGGAGGGGGGGGAGAGAAGGAGGAAATTTGAGGGGGGTAGAGGAAGGAGGAAATTTGAGGAGTGGGGGAGAGGGCGAGGAAATTTGAGGGAGGGAGGGGGAAGAGGAGGAAATCGAGGGAGGGAGGGGGGAGAGAAGGAGGAAATTTGAGGGGAGGGGAGGGAGAGGCTAAAAGCCTGGGGGGAGAGGAAGGAGGAAATTTGGCTGGGGAGGGAAGGAATGGGGAGAGGGAAATTCTGAGGGGGGAGAGGAAGGAAATTTGAGGAGGAGGGAGAGGCTGAAATTTGAGGGATGGGAGAGGAAGGAGAAATTGAGGGGGGGGAGAGGAAGAAATTTGAGGGAGAGGAGGGAGAGGAAGGAAATTTGAGGGAGGGGGGGAGAGGAAGGAGGAAATTTGAGGGGGGAGAGGAAGGGAGGAAATTTGAGGGAGGGGAGGGAGAGGAAGGAAATTTGAGGGAGAGGAGGGAATTTGAGGGGGGGAGGAAGGAAATTTGAGGGAAGGGAGGGGCTAGGAAGGAAATTTGAGGGGGGAGAAGAAGGAAGTAAATTTGAGGGAGGGGGGAGAAGGAAGGAAATGAGAGGGAAGGAAATTTGAGGGAGGGGGGAGAGGAAGGAAATTTGAGGGGGGGAGAGGAAGGAAATTTGAGGGAGGGAGAGGAAGGAAATTTGAGGGAGGGGCGGAGAGGAAGGAAATTTGAGGGGGGCGAGAGGAGAGGAAGGAAATGAGAGGGAGGGGGAGAAGAAGGAAATTGGAGGGGGGAGAAGGCAATGAGAGAGGGGGAGACAAAGGAAAATGGAGAGAGGGGGAGAAGAAGGAAATTGGAGGGGGGGGAGAAGGAAATTGACGGGGGTAGGGGGAGAGATTGACATCCATCACACACACACACAATGCACCCCTTGCACACAGAAAAACACACAATGTATTACACACAGACACACATACACAAGCAATGCATCCCATACACACAGCAACACACAATGCACCCCTTACACACACTCAGTGCATCCCTTACAGACGCACACACTGCATCCCATACATACACAAACTCACCTTGCAGCCCTTACACATACAAACACAGATTCACACAATGCATTCCTTACACACATCAGGACATCCCCCCCACACTCCACTCCCTGTGAACAAACTCATTGGTGGAACATGAAGGTGGACCCTGGGACCCAGACCTTGAGCTGTGTAAAGGGCCCTCAAAAAAATGGAGCTGCTTCCCGTTCTCCCAGAACATTGATTTTTGTGACCACAGTTACAAACCGCCTCCAGAGAGCCTGTTGTACACCAGACCAGTGGAGCCAGACGGCAGCTAGAGCCCATCATCATCCTCATCTGGTTGTAAGTAGGCAATCTAGTATATTATTCGTGGCACTAATCTCTAATTTACCTCACATTAAAGGGACACTATAGTCCCCAGAACCACTGCAGCTTAATGTAGTGGTTCTGGTGTCTATAGCCTGTCCCTGCAGGCCTTTTATTGTAAACACGGCGGCACTGCAGCACTGTGTTAGTTAACATGGCAGATCATATGGGTGGGGCATTGTGATGTCACATGGGGGGCGGCAAACTTTACTTTTGCCTAGGGCGGCAAAAATCCTTGCACCGGCCCTGCAGACACTGCATCCCTGTGGGCGGACTCGGGGGGCGGAGGGGGCGGACTCGGGTGCATGCACCGGGGGGCCCAGACCTTGAGCTTGAAAATTTCTGATGGCAGCCCTGATGTGTTGCCTTGGGACTCAGATGATTTGCTGCTAATGTCTTGGTGCCAGATACCACAGGGCACGTTCAGAGCTGTTTTGGCAGCACATGGGGACATACGCCATATTAGGCAAACGTTTTAATGGTGTGTCTGATCAGTGTATAAACATATCATGACACAGCAATTTTGTGAATTGATTGTTTTGCAGACAAATGTAAATTTACACAATTTTTATTTTTCACTTATTAATTCAACCTTTATAAAATATTTGGGAAATTAAAAGCTTTAGGCAATTTACAGTGTCCTTTATCTTGCAATATTCCACACAGGGTCTGAAATGTAACTATAAAAGGAAAATGCTATTTTTCTCACATTCTGTAGATGTGACAAAAGGCCCTGGGGAGTTAGCACAGCTAAACGGACAAGGACATATGTATGAGTGTGAGGATGGTGCTAGTGATTGGCTGTATGTGTTTAGGGGAGGGGCTGTATGTGTTTAGGGGAGTGGGTATGGGTTTGTAGTGGTGTAGGGATCAACTTACCACAGTGCCTTTTGGGATTCTGGCCAACAAACAACGTCCCTCCCTCTTTTGTGTTTCTGTTTCTGTCACAGCTAGCGGGGAGCATGTCCCTGCAATGGGGTTGGGGAGCAGATGGAATGTCAGGATATGGACAAGGTGGGTCTCAACCTCCCCTGCTCTCTAGGGTAAACTTTTCAGTTACCTATTTGGACGTGCCCACCAAGGTAAAAGCCAGCTGGTGGTGAGCATTTAATGGAAACTGAATTTTGGTGTGGACAAGGAGGGAGGTGAGAGCCCGGTGGGTAAGTTTTGGTGCATAGGCACCTGGTTAAGTTCGTTGGCAAGGACGGTTATTTAAAGGACCACTATAGTGCCAGGAAAACATACTCGTTTTCCTGGCACTATAGTGCCCTGAGGGTGCCCCCACCCTCAGGGTCCCCCTCCCGCCCGGCTCTGGAAGGGGGAAAGGGGTAAAAACTTACCTTTTTCCAGCGCTGGGCGGAGAGCTCTCTGCCTCCTCTCCGCCTCCGTTACGCCCGCCGGCTGAATGCGCCGCGGCAAGAGCTGCTACGCATTCAGCGGTCTCATAGGAAAGCATTTACAATGCTTTCCTATGGACGCTGCGTGCTCTCACTGTGAAAATCACAGTGAGAAGCACGCAAGCGCCTCTAGTAGCTGTCAATGAGACAGCCACTAGAGGATTAGGGGGAAGGCTTAACCCATTCATAATTATAGCAGTTTCTCTGAAACTGCTATAATTATGAAAAAATGGGTTAACCCTAGAAGGACCTGGCACCCAGACCACTTCATTAAGCTGAAGTGGTCTGGGTGCCTAGAGTGGTCCTTTAAGCTAAAGGCTGTAGGGCACTAGGTGTTAATTTATATCTTAATTTATGGTTTATGTATTTATATTTATGTGTTTGTTTATATGTGAAATGAAGGAATTTAATTAAGTTCGGATGAGTCCTACAGTTGCACTTTTAATCAATGCTGTGGCCTGTTTCATCCAATATTCGGTGTCTGTCGTTATTGGGGGGAGAATTGGGATAAGTTCTTTATTCATAGATGCACCACATTCCCCGCTACATCCATACATGTAAAATACCTTGCTTATAGCTTTGAATGCATTACCAGCAGTACTAAAATTACTCAGATTTGCTTCAGAATATAAAAAGAATGCCTGTATTTGAGCACAATGCCCACATACAGTAAAGACGGGTAAATCGTAAACGTCTAAAATAAAGATATTCACAGCTGCTCTAGCA